GAGAGCCACTACTGACCTGGCTGAAATAGTTGCCCAGTTCATTAGCTACTTCGACAGGCTCAGAGATGAGAGTATCTCGAATATGGAGGACGGGTGCAGGATGGGGGGGATGTTTGCCTGATAATTTATGGATCTGTCGCCAAACAGCTGAAATATATGTAGATGTAATTGAGGAAACATAATTTTGCCAGCTATTTGTTTTGCTGTTTCTAATTGTACGGCGAAGATGGCCAGATGCTCTTTTAAAGGAAATAAGGGCTGATAGCTGGTGAGGGGTGACTCTTTTGTAGCGATAGCTGTTCCAGGCTGCTCGTTTTAAGCGAAGCGCTTTGGTGCAATCAGAATTCCACCATGGAACACATTTAGAGGTATAAGGTCTTGAAGTTCGAGGAATGGCTGTATAGGCAACTCTTAGGATCGTGGTTGTAAAACAATGTAGCATATCTGAAATGGACGGTAAGGGGGGTGGAGGGATAGGTATAGTAGAGAGTGAAGTGAAAGTATGCCAGTCAGCTCTATCAAAGCACCAGCGTGGAGGATTAGGAAGTGGTACATATGAAGTAGGAGAAAGGAGTATTGGGAAGTGGTCACTATAGGGGAAGTGATCTAGAACTGACCAATGGAAATCTAAATGTAAAGTAGGAGAGCATAGCGAGAGATCAAGGCATGAAAAGGATTGTGTGCGCATGTCAAAGTGTGTGGGGCGATCTGAATTAAGAATAATTAGGTTATTTGTGAAGAGGAAGCGTTCTAGAGATCGGCCTCGGGAGTTGGTGGTAGAGTCACCCCAGAGCGTGGCGACAGTTGAAATCACCAACTACGAGGAAAGGTGGTTGGAGTTGGGAAATTAGAGTCTCAAAGGCAGTAAAGTCAATGGGATGGGATGGGGAGAAGTTGACTGAAATCACTGTGATCCAGCGGCGAAGATGCGAATAGCTGTGCACGGGACAGAAGTTTGTATGGGAGGTATGACATAAGGTGTTTTATGATGGATAAGTATAGACGAGACATAAAGGGAGTGTGGGGAAGAGATAAAATGGTAATTGGGAATTGGAATAGGAGGGTGTGTGAGGAAAGTCTCTTGGAGGCAGATAATAGATGGATTATAAGAAGCAAGGATATGACGTAGGTCTGATCTATGAGAGTGGAAACCGCGAATATTCCAATGTAAGAGAGCTATTTCTTAGTTGATTTACGAATGATAACGCAAGTACGTGTTGGGGAATATGAAGGGGAAGGAGCTAGGGGGTGTAAAGGAGGAATATTAGGAGGTAGGGAATCTGGAGAAGGGCATTGTTGTGACATGAGTGATTCTCGTGTGTATCCGGGAGGGAGTGCAAAGGATAGAGAGGATGGAGGGAGGAAGAATGTGCCTATAGTTGGGGTTGAAGGGGGTGGGTTGTGTTGGGAGGGAGTAGATGTGGGGGGAGTATTAGTGTTCATCATCATCTCGTATTAGTGTTAGGAGGATGAATATCGGAAGGATGGATAGTTGGAGTTGAAGGGGATGTGTTGTCTTGGGAGGGATTAGGAGGAAGGGGTGTAGGGGTGCTGTGAGTAAGAGGGGGATGCATATCAGGATGATGGGTATTGGAAGGATGGATATCGGTGGTGGGCGGAATTGAGGGGGTTAGGTTGTGTTGAGAGGGAGTAGGAGGAAGGGGTGTAGGGGGAATATTAGTAGGAGGGGTATGAATATCGGCAACCACTTCAAGTGTGGAAGGAGCATAAGTTATGGGATCTTGTGTCTCAAGCATATAGCTTTGAATGTCATCCATTGTTTCTGCAGTGGAGTTGGTTGGAGAGTTTTGTGAGAAGGTAATTGTTTCTGCAATGGAATTGGTTGGAGAGTTTTGTGGAATAAAGGTTTTCTTATGAGGGGGGAAGAGGAGACTGGTGTCTCAGGAACAAAGGTATAGGTAGGTGGAGGTGATTGTGCTGTAGGGGAAGAAGGGTTAGAACGTTTAGTCTGTCTACTGCGGGTAGTGTGGGGAGGGAGAGGGTTTGGTGTTGGGGCTGTAGTTGAGATAGGAGCTGTGGTTGAGATTGGGGTGTCTGGGTTTAGAGTGGCAAAGGAATTGGTCTGAGGGATGCAGAATGTAGAAGTGGAAATGGGGACATTTTGGGGTGGAGGGGGAGGGGCTGAGCGAACGATGTTACTAGAATATGGAGTGAGAGAAACCTTGTCGACGTGCTTCCTGTCTGGCTTCATGTAAAGTGAGACCATTTTGGTATCTGAGAGTTCCTACTTCAGATTCAAACTTGTAACTGGGACAGCCTTTATAAAATACATTATGGGGGCCGCCGCAGTTAGCACATGTTCGTGTTTGTGCTGAGCAGTTTGATCGATTATGACCAGGTTGGGCACATATGGGGCATCGGTCTGTGGAACGGCAATGTTTGGCAGGATGTCCAAAGCCCCAACAGTTTTGACATTAACGGGAAGGGGGTTGGTATGGTCGAACTGGGAGGGATTGTCCACCGATGCAGATACGTAAGGGAAGGTCATGTGTCCGGAAAGTAATTTTGGCAATGTTGGTCGGATTCTTTCGTTGACCTTTTAGGAGGAATGATGTAGCAATGTACTGATTTCACATCTTGGTCTTTGAGGCATCCTAATAAGTCTTCTCCACAGTCTGACCAATCTTTGGTATCGACTGGGCGGTTTGCTGGGGAGAGAGAGACAGTTCCGGTACAGGTATTAAGGGTTGGATGAGGTTCTGCAGGAATGGGATTGCCAGAATGATCAGTTAAATTTGATAGTGCTATAGATTCAGTTTTTGATCTGACTGTTACAAGACGAGCGATCGCATCTGGTATAGAAAGGGACTCTACCTACTTGTTTTTGGAGGCATTGTTGAAAGAGAAGAGTGTTGCCTGAGTAAGGAGCTGTAGAAGGGATCACGAAAAATCGGTCCCATTTAGCTGGGCTAAACAGAGTATTTAAGATGTCTGTAGGGTTAGTGGTGGTGGATGGTCGGGGACGTGTGGAAGAGGGAGTATTACGGAATGATGGAGAATAAGGCTGCAAGGTAGTAATAAGGGAGGATTGGTTGCTTAATGAAAGTTGCGGGGGTAGAGTTGATGAATTTGAGGAAGTTGGGTGGGTAGGAATGTCTTCTGGAGATTGATTTTCTGCTTGGGTGGGTAATGCACTAGTAGGCATTGAGGAGTGGGTAGTAGTTTCAGTGTTCGGAGCCGTGGTCAAAGGAGAGCCTGGGTTGGGGCTATTTGATAAAGGGGCTAGCCTCATTGCCTCTAATAAAGGGATTACATTTTCATTACTGGTCATAGGGAACCTGGATTATATAAAAGGCATCAACTGGTCCACCTCCATCGCTAGTGAAAGGTAAGGGCTTGATTAGTCGGGAGTACCGTGCCCATAGTTCCCGCAGGCCGTTCAGGACTGGCACAAGGTCAGCCTTTCACCCTCTCAGCACGGCTCTCACACCTTAGGAAGTAGATAGTAGAAGGGTTTGGAGAAGGGATAGAAACAGAAAGCTGGAGGGGAAAAAGACCATGCAAAATTAGTTGAGTTGAGGGCTGAGGCCCTAGGCAGGGGAGATCCCTGCATTGGGTCTCAGTCTCCGTCTCCTAAGCCCGCCCACAACAACAACGGGCAAGGGATTGGAGGGGAATGAATAGTAGTAATAAGGGGGAAGGAGGTAGACAATGAAGAAGACTGTGCGGTAGATGGAGTAAAGGATGTTAGGAGAGAGGAAGTGTTGCATTCTTGACTACTGACCTGGGTGGATCATTCAGAATGGAAAGAATCAACAGCAAAAATCAAGGAGGGGTTAGTATCTGTGATCAGAGCTGTGAGCAAAGAAGAGGTAGGGGTTAGAAAACCAGAAAAATCATATTCTGATAGACTAGTTGAAGAAGGGGTAAGTCTTAATGCCCCTAATATAAATTTTAAAAAATCATTATTGGCCATGGTGATGCTGAAGTGAGTGGGGAAAAGAAATGGTCTATCCCTCGGGGTCCCCATAAAGGGTAAAGGCTCGACAATTAACCGAGGGAATACCGTGCCCATGGCTCCCAGAGGCCATTTATGACTAAAAACAAGGCAGCCTTTCATCCTTTCAGCATGGCTCTCATACTGAAGTGGACAGAAGAAGCAGAAGAAGAAAAGGAAAAGAAAGAGTAGAGACAAAATAAGTGTAGGGTGTGTTATGGAAAAATAAATACAAAAATATTTTTAAATTACCCATATAACATTGTCACTTACTTTACTGGTACTGCACAGTGGAAAATATCTGGAGAGGTAATGTGGTCTGCACAACAAAAACTGTCAACTATTATATTGATACAGCATAACAAATAGCTAAAGTGCCTCTGGAGCAATATATGAGTAAACAAAACCTCGGTGGATAATGCCTGTCCAAGTGCCACTAGCATCAACTGGTTAATATTACTAAAACTGTTTTTTTCTCATAAGGATCAGCTATAAAAGAAAACTCGTGGAATACATACATTAACTACTTGCCACCGGAGATGGTATGTGCATACAGGCCATGCCCACAATGTATTTAATCTAGTAATTGTTTTTAAATATAGATGGCTCTACAAGCACTAGGTCACCAATGACTCCGTTACAAGAACCACTTGTCTCATCTGTTTACCTTTTTCCTTAATTCTCAATATTTTCTAGTAAATAATACTGCTGTTAGCACTGTCAATAGCAATATAGTAATTATAATGTCTATAACAAAAATAACTGTCAGTATTAATAGCATAAGTAAAAAAGTGTTTTCCCACTATATCACAGAAAGGTGAGGTGGCAAGATCTACTAATTGACTCCTTTGTTGCTTAGCACTGGCAGAGCCATCTGTGTGCAGAAACATTTAACAAAACAATAAGAAAGTAAACAAAACATTTTCCAGTCGGCATTGGGTTAATATACTGGAGTTAATGTCAGTGCCAAGATTTGACAAATGACAGGCTCCTAACTGACAGAGAAAAGATGTTACTCACAGGACTCAAATTCAAACAAAAGTACTGTTGTATACTCTATTATTTTCAAAACATATAAAACTTTCTGTGCTAAAGCTGACAAAAAATGTCAGTTTAGAAACACAGCAGGTACAACTTTGCTTATTGAACAGTGTTATTTGCAATGCTGCAAACAAATAAAATAATGAAATATAAAAATGTTTTATATACAAAGGATAGGCACAGAAGTTTTCCTAATTCAAAAAGTTTTCAAGTAAAAGGTGAAAGACATTATAATGCATGCAAAACTACCCATGAGACAGGTATATTAACCTCAATATATCAGTGATCAGGACTGCCTCAATTATTAAGAAAATACAAATGGTAACAAGAACCTCCATAATAAATCTGGATTTCCAGCATTTTATATTCTCTTTCAAGACATTAAGTTAATCAGTGTATAGCCATTCAGAATGCTTGTATAAATGCTTTTTGTTAAAGCTTGGGAATGTGAAAAAAGTATATATTCATTTAGGAGTATGTAATGTGTTAATAAATAATTTGTTAACAGAAGGTTACATGAACTAATATGATACATTGATAATATTGAGAATTCACAAAATTAAGATTACTCAGAGCTGAAATACATATAAAAGGTCAGCTAAAATGGAAGTAAGAAGATAATGCCATAAGTAAGATAATTTGTTACCAACTAAAGCAAAATCCTTCTTCAAAACTGAACACTTCACAAGCTCTTCAGTCTACTATCTATATTGAATACAAATGTAACTTGTAATCCATGTTACCTAAAGAGTGAGACAGTGAGAAAACAAATCACTGAAAGGTGGAAAGAGATATAGAGAGAGAGTGAATAAAAGAGGAGGAAAAATTATTCAATAATATATATATACATAAGCAAGCAAATACAAATATCTTAAGTTTGGTTCCTTATTACTATTGCAGGTTGATTCCTCGCTTGGCCATCTGCAGCTCAAATCTCTTGTTAAATCTGACTCCCTTTAGAATCTTCTTCTGGCCTTCTCTTATCTGCTCCCTGAAATCCAATACAATACTGGTTACAAGGATAAGAATTCTTATATATATATATGAACAAGAATGAATTAAGTTCAAAAGGCACAAGCATTCATTCTCACCTTTTTTCTACATTTATCATAACATTCAGCAGAATGCACAAAATAAAAGAAAAAGACAACAATGACATCAGCAACAACATATAATGTTACTACCAGAAAGGTTTAAATATAGATACATGCATAAATTGTTTACATTTACAGATATAAGCATTAAACCTTAATTTAAGAAATTTTGACTGGACAAGCAGACACACAAGCATTCTAATGCTGCTTACTTTGACTACACAGACAAATGTACACTTAATTTTAATCCCTAGCATGCTACTCTCCATGATTGTGGCAATTTGTGCAACATTTATGACTGACAACTCACCATGATCATGAAAGGCCTGTCAAAAAGTGGCAGTTTTTTTTTCCCTACAACCTTTTTGTTATCAAAGATATATTTTAGTGCCTATTTATATGTCACTCTTTTTAGGACCTCCTCTTGCTTAGGAAGTCTATAATATCATGTTCTTCAATTCTTTTATGTAAATGGAATGTATTATGAGCTGACCAAGTACGACTGGAGTCACTAGTGCCAAGCTGAACATGACGTAAAGGTGCATGCACTGTCAGCTGCTCAAGGGAAAAATCAGAAGCATAGGAAATATAGGGCTACCCTGTTCTCTATGTTCTTGGCTATGGTATAAATAATTCTTTTCAGAAGCAAGGCTAAAAAGAGGCTTTAACCTTACTTTTGAGGGGCTGATTCCCAACAAAATGCAGCCAGTGATAAACAAGCACCTAACTGTTTCACAAGCAAAACTTAGAGTAGTCTCAACCACACATGATATAAAGACGTCATCCTAGTGGGAGGGATGGTCTACCATGAAGTGATAGGACATCATCCTGGCATGAGTGGATTAAGACTCACATCCCAGTATATTAATTTTCCCATTTATACATTTGGATAAATACACATTTCATTTATATGATTTTATTACTTAGTGTGTATTTCATTTATATGTTTATTGTAATTCATTCACTTTATCATTCTACAATGAGCTGTAACTATACATTTTTCAACTTTATGTTCTTTTGATACTCTTTATGTATTTGATATATTATATATGAGATGTATTTCTGGTTTGTAGAACTAATCTCTTGAAATACCAGAGTCAAAATAGTTATAGCGAAACTGTCCAGACAGGCTGGAGGGTTTCTGGTTCCTAAGGGCTGAACATAGTTTACCTAAGGGTACCTTCATTCTGATAAAGCTTAAATGGACAAATGGACACCTTTTCTTGAACACACAATGCTCACCATTTTCACTAAACCTGTCTCACCTTGACTTAAGATTTGGGTTTCGTTCAGCCATCTTGTTCAGGGTAGCACGATCAGTGAAGGGCTTCACAGCACCTCTGTAAGGGACATACCCCGTTGGTTTGCTAGCTGGAATCTTGGAGCTGCTCTCATTTATCTTTTTGCTTGATGCTGGACTCTGGGGCATTTTCACAGATGCCACTTTAGTCACAGCTGGGCTAACTAGAGATGGCCTTGCTGCTGCAATAATATAAAGGAAAACTTTTTTCAAAGACAAAGAACACCACCCACAAAAAAAATCTAATAGGTACTTCAAAATTTATGACCACAATATTTTTATTCTCTTATGGTTCTGCTGTTCTAATATGAAATAACTGGAACCAAGTCCCTAGAGATAAGTATCAACAAAAAGCAGTTCCATAGCCATCGACCCTAAGATACTCACCTGGCTTCACATTTTCCTTCAGCAATCTGGGTAATGCACTGACACGAGACTTTGGTGAGACCTTCTTGCTTGATGCTGGTGCTACCTTCATCCCTTCTTGACTCTGGCCTGCTTTAGGTGAGGGCCTGCCGACTTTTGGGGACTTTTGGGTGGGCACTTTCGGAGACTTGTGTGGGCCTTTCAGCTTTGTTGACGTGACTGCTACCTTTGGAGACTTCTTGGCTGATTTTGGAGATTTTGCTGGGACAGCTTTGGGCTGGGTCTTGACCTCTCTGGGAGACTTGGAAGGCACTTTGGGTGATTTGTGGGGAAGGGAAGCAACACTCTTAGGGGTTTTGGTAGTGTTACCAGCCTTGGATTCTTTGTTGCCAACTGGGGTCTTGCCAAATCTAGCTGGGGATCTTGTAGCTGTTGGAAATGGAGTGGTTACTTTCAGACAAGTAGTAAACTGACAATAAGGAACAAGCCCTTATAACAGATACAGACTTTAATTATCATTTCCCTGAAATAATTAACACAACAGGGCTGTCCAGGAATAATTGTACACATCCAAATAACTAGAAATATTTGTGCTCAGCTCATGTAACTGGCCCGTCTAGCAACTGATGTGTATATATTACGTTCAACATGGTGGGACTGCATTTTACAATTTGGCAGTCGCGTTTAAGTGTCTGGCCAAGAAAAAATTTTACTATCTACATTCATTACCTCTTACTAGCCATCCTTACTCAGAGTCACATCACTGTTAAGACATTTTCATACCTGCTATGGAAAAATCTCCAATTTTAAGACTTAATTTAAAGCTTTAAATTTCCCAAAAATTATTTAAGACACTTAAAGACTTTTGAAGGAGGCACAAGAACCCCACAATATTTTCATTTACCCTTCCAGTAATTCTATAAGGGAAAACAAATCTCAACGGATTTCCCCATTCCTTGAAATTCAGAATTTTTCTCTAATGCTATCAACATTTACACTATAATTGCTACTGTTAAAAAATAATAATAGCAATAATACTTTAAAAAATAAATAAATTGAAAAACATGATAAAGGGACAATACATGAGATAGGCAAGGGTAGTAATAGACTCGTTGGTGACTAAGAACATGTGGAATCATCTATATGTAAACATAGTGGATATGGCGTGTATATAATGCCATCCTAGAACTCAGGGTTAAGTCACAAAGCTGTCAAAAACATGCCAGCTCTCCAAGTGATACAGACCCCAGCAACCCCATCACCTTTCCAGTTTATATGGCCGAAATAGCAACCTCCTTCATAAAAAGAAATCTTCAACTGGTCTTACCAACAAAATTCAGGTTCAGGTTCTTGACACTGGTTACTGCTGGCTTGAAGACTTTCTCTGGATCAACCTGATTAGGAAATAATTCAGGGAAACATTAGAAATGTTTCTCAATTGCTGCAATTTAAGCTAAAAAGCACCATACATAGAAATAAGTTCTGATTTTGCTTACATGTTTGCAGACTATCATTCTATTTCAAAGGTGCCAATGGAACATAATACGCTCATCTCCAAAGGCTTTAACAGAGAATGGAACAGACAAAAAAATTAGCAAAAACATGGGGGACTGTTTACACTACCTGAGGCTTCTTCACTGAGCTACCAACTGTGTTGGTGCGTTTGCGTTTCTTATCCACATAGTCATCCAATGCCTCCATGCGGTTGAAGGCACGCTCATGGATCTTGGCAAAGTTTGGAACTCTTGGCTTGCGCACATAGGAAAGGAAGCGAGGAATGTTGCTCCCATCTTGCTTGGAATCTGGAAGTGTGAGGCTAGGTTACAAAGGAAACCTGACAATAGCCAGTTTCTGACATGAGCCACACACATGAGAGTATCCTGCTAAATTTTTGACAAGGAATAACATAAAAGAAGTGAGCTTCACAGCAAGACAATTAATTTAGATCCAAACACTTTCACCATGAAATACAGATACAGAGATTCCCATACCCTTGCCAACATTTTTGGTGGTAGGTCCATCACCCCTGCCAACAGTGAACACTGGCTTCACAATCTTGGCCCCACCACCAGTCTTGGT